ATTTACGACATCACATTAGAAACCTCTAAAATAATCAGTGTTTCTCTACTATATTATTCATGTTATATACATATAAACCTTCCTCTTGAATCACTCTATGTATTAAAAACCCACATCAAAATCCCTTGCGTAGTTTTAAAGAGTATACATACATACACTTACACTATTTGTGCAATGTATATAATGAGTTATGAAGAAATTAAGCTTGGCTGTCGATGAAAAATAAACGAAAACAAACTAGATTTTTTTCACAAAATGCATTGTGAGTATTCACAGAATTGGCATTTCAAAATTCAAAATATTCTCCAAGTCAAAATATTGCCTTTTGCCCTTCGAATATATTTGATTCTCTCTTTTAGAATTTCCTTCAAAAACTCTACAATATGGTTCTTTTCTTATCAAATATATTGAGTATATCTGTCCTTATTACGATAAAAAATCAATTCAAGCAATGTTTTATCCCACTTCAATGTAGACCTGTTCGTAACATTATTTGACGTAATGTTTCCACTCATAAATACACAAATCTTTCAAATGGCTATAGTGATTGGCTGAAGTTTTTAATGGTCCAATAAACCTCCTAATACACGTGCCCAACAAGATTTTGATTTTTATGTTCCACAATTTTACTTGAGACTATCGTAGCGATAAAATATCTAAATTTAGTTTTGGCATTTCTCAGATAGTTTATTGTTCTAGAGTATTTCTTTACAAAATCAAGTACCTACATTCCGTTTATGACAGAAACACATCAAGTACAACTGAAAAATATTCACCTTAGGTCACTATGTAATTTTTCCTGAATCGACAAACAATAATTCCAAAATGTGTGGTGTGTGTTTGAACTTGTTTTTCATTTCAATCTTGATGTTTTTTGTGAGTTTTTCTATAGCGTAACATAGCTTTGTTAGTCTTGCTGATTGACTTCTGAAACATTCGATATAGTACAAGTTATTCTCTGATAGTCTGTTGCAATTTCGCTATTATCTATATCGAGGTCAACTTAAAACTATGTCTTTTCTACATCTATAGATAGTTCTCCGTTACAATGTTTATATTTTTCAGGTTGTGGAAGGTAAAAAAATAAAAAAGAAGGAAGGTCGATAAAAAACTGATTTATTCCAATATCCAATATTCAATATTGTCACTTTGTTCATCTTTGCTATGATTCTTTAATTGCACCAAATTTGTTCGTTCCCTAGAAGTCTTGGTTGAAAATACATCGCGATGTCTATCGATAAATTTCTTGGTTATTTTGACCTCAAGTTAGGTCCCGTGTTTTAAAACAATTTGGTTTGCCTTGAAACTGTTAAAAATCTTTATATATTCTCTCTGAAGTTCACTTCGGACTTCATGACTTTTGCTATATAAACTAAGTTGTAGCTTTTCTTGTTTTTGTTTTGCCTCCATATAGTTGTTGAAGAATCATCTTTCTGATAAAAACATTTCAGTAACACCTTCATTGTACTCATAATGCACTGTTTGGAACATTTGGTGTGGTAATGAATATTACTGGAGTTTTATCCCAACACCAACCCGTTATTTTTAACACCTTGACACGTGTTTCAATCACCAAGTGATCATCTTCAAGAGTAAGATTGAATTAAATCTACATACAATGTAGCCTCTACCAGGTAACCGCGCCTTAATTGTCTTAAAATTAATTTTACAATCTTACCTTATCTACTATACTAAAACCAATAATGATTGAGAGTAGAAGTAAACCCAGTTGACAGCAAATCGGGGGCGTGCTTATTAATTTTTGAGAGGGTTAAGAATGAAAGAAAAATTCTTAGNCCGAACAACATTCCAAAAGGATACATCACGACCCATGTATGGAGTGTCTCTCTATGTGGGCAACTTTAGACTTGCTTCTGGGTGACAATTGGATTCTGTACACCAGATCGTTGATCTTTTTGGTTGCCAAGTAAGGTCCTTGCCATGATCTCTACAATTTGGGACACAAACCTTTCCGGCGTTGGGGTTGGTAGAGCCATACTGTATCGCCCTCCTTGAAGCTCACACGCAGCGACGTTTTGTCAAATCTTCATCCTGTCGCTGGAAAGCTTTGATTTGGTTCTGGAAAATTCGTGTACAATTTCCAGTCTTTCCTTCAGGTCATTCACATATTCTGAAAGAGGTACCTCTTGTGATTTATCGAAATGACTGCCACACAATACATCTATCTGAAGCTTCAGTTGGTGTGTAACCTGTCGCGTCATGTTGGCAGCTTCTGTGTGTCAACAAAAAAAAGGAACCAATTGATCCTAGTCTCTGGTTTTCGGAGACATACATCGAGGTAGTTATTTATGGTGCGATTATGCCTCTCCTTCGGACTGTGGGTGAAAAGCAGTTGTTCTTGACTTCTTTATTCCCAACAAAGTCATCATTTCCTTCCATAAATGCGATTCGAAGTTGCGGCCCTGATCCGAGTGTAGTTCCTGGGGTACTCCGTGTCTGGAAATTACGTTCAGCAACAGGGCTTCTGCCACCGTTTTAGCCTCTTGGTTGGGAAAGGCCACTACTTCAGGCCATTTGGAAAAGTAGTCCGTCACAACCGGATGTAGTAATAGGAAGTGGTTCCAGAATGTCAACTGTGTTTCTTTCGAAAAGGGCACCCACTGCGGTCTTGCTTTTACCTCCCTCTTTGCCTTGTCTTCGGACCCTTTCTCGAAGAGCACATGTTAGAGCGCTTACACCACTCTTTCACTTCTCGACGGCAATTGACCCAATAGTACCTCTCACGCACTCTCGCTAGAGCTCTATTTACTCTGAAATGCCCTCCAGTGCCACCATCGTGGAGCTGTTCAAGGATACTCGGGATACACGTCTTTGGAAGGAATATATGGAATTTGTGGGTTCTTCCAACTGTGCTTTTCCATTTCCGAGTGAGTAGGTCATCTCGAATGCAAATGGAGTGCCATTGGAGCCAGTTACCCTTTTTCTGCTGGCCGTACTTGGAGATCTCTTAAATTTCCGGCGTCACTCCTTTGTCAATCCATTCTCGTACAGTTTTCAAGACCGGATCTTCCTTCTGCGCTACGATGATCTCCTGCCTCGTCCTAAAGGTATTTTCACCCTTGGAAGCTGTTGATGACCGTACCACACCATGGTCAGGTGATTCCTCAGATTTTCTGTCCATATGCCTGGACAAGGGACCCTTACAGGTTGCTTCCCTCCGGGTCAGAGGGAACCCTAAGCGGTGGGAGACAGGGGAGCTCATCTCCCAATCAGAGCTGTCCATAAAGGAGTCTCTGCCGGCTACCTTATCATGTCTGGTGGAAAGCTCTTCTCCTGGTAACTTGGCGTTGACAAAATTTACATTTTTCCACAGTAATCTTTTTCGATTCCGGTGAACCTTTCCGAAGTTTCCGGAAAACCTCTTCAAACTTGTCGACTCCTTCAAGCTTTTTTTAAAGCTCTTCTTCAAATTTTCTTCCGACTCCTTCAAGCTCCTCTTCAAGTTTCCTTTCAACCTTCCTGAATAAATTGCTGTACCTCCCCTTTACTCACGTGGGAAGATTTTAAATCTTCAAATAAATGATAGTACATCTTATTTTCTTTTTCTTGTTTGTCCCGAATATTTACCAATAATTTACGATATTCCTCTTTGTCTCTATATTATTTTTCCAGAATATTCACCAGCAAGTCTCGTTTTTTTATGTTTTTTCTGAATTCCTAGTAGTAATTCACAAATTTAATTTCGGCGTAATCGTTCTTTCTCCCTTCTGCAATTTTCATTTTCCACCAGGCCCGTTTGCAAAGCCTCGAACATTTTTTCAAGCTCTTCCATCTCGTCGTAATCGACACTCCTTGTTTTCACCATAAACAGGAAATTTTCAGTAATTTTGTAACGTTTTTACCCGTGGGTTTACCAATAATTGACTACACTGTATAATAATCAATCTTAACTTTATTCAACTTTTAATACAACAAAACACTTTAACTTCAACTTCAACTATTATTCAAATGTCTATCGCCTTATTAGATCGCTCCGCGTACCGCAATGTCATTTCCACTTGACTCTCTCGATAGACGAGCATGTTTTCACCATAAACAGGAAATTTTCAGTAATTTTGTAACGTTTTTACCCGCGGGTTTACTAATAATTGACTACACTGTATAATAATCAATCTTAACTTTATTTAACTTTGATTACAACAAAACACTTTAACTTCAACTTCAACTATTATTCAAATGTCTATCGCATTATTAGATCGCTCCGCGTACCACAATGTCATTTCCATTTGACTCTCTCGATGGACGAGCGGATCGTGTTTATATTTGGAAATCGGAGGCCGTAGAAAATTCCTCGGAATTCCATTGAAATTGGCGGAATATTCGCTGGGATTTCATCGAATCCGGTGCGAAGACTAGAACTATCGAGGCTGCGCGCGGCCTTGACTACGTCACAGTTGGTTTACGACTACCAGGGGCGACCGGCGTTATTTTTTTAAGGCATGATTTACAATATTATCTTGGTTCTTGTCGTTTTTAAAAGAAAGTAAACTTTCTTATAATATCCTCTACATTGGTGACTGCTATCTCCTGTATTGTCACTTTTTTTTGTAAATGTCCCATGTGTGAGTGGAAGACGTCAAAAGACGATGCACTAAAAAATTCAACCAAGCACGTTTGTGCTGTCCACAGTGATGTGAATTCTCAGGAAGATACCTGTAAGTGCTTGTTTCCTTTCTAAATACATCGTATTCTAGCTTTCCACATTGACTCCTCAATACCAAAACGTCAAGTAATAGAATTTGTACTTTTTTTTCTAACTTAAACATGAATTTTATTGATGGAAATCTGTTATTTGAAAAGGAAACAAAGCCCCCAATGTTGGATTTTTTGTTGTAGTGTCTAATTGATAAATTTGATTTTGATACAACCGATAATTTGTAACTTAAACCTCTATAAAAATCAAATATACACCCGTCTGATCTAGTTATTTCTCAACATTCGTATCTGTGGACATTTAAAGAGAAGTTCTTCTTCAACAGGTGGAAGGGGCTCGACTATAAAAGCTCACAAGAAAATTCCAGTATACGTCGTAGAATATCATCAAGAAGTCCTTCCGTTCGTTTACAAAAATATTGGATCAAAATATCTTCCTCTTGAAGGTTCCACCATCATCCATTTTGATTCTCACCCAGATATGCTCATACCGAAAGACATGCCTGCTGAGACTGTGTTTGACAAACATGCCCTCTTTGAATGTCTAAGCATTGAGAATTGGATACTGCCAGCGGTTTACGCTGGTCATTTCAAGAATTTATTATGGATCAAACCACCATGGGCCCAGCAAATGTTAGACTCTAGCCAAACTTTCAATATAGGAAAAGAAATCAATAGTGGTACTATACGTGTTGATTGTAAAGAAAATTACTTTATTTCTGAGTGTTTATACACCCGTACTCAATGTTTAGAAAGTACGAGAGCTGTTGATCTGCACGTAGCTACATTAGGTAACGAGATTAACGGAATCGGAGACGATATGAGTATAATACATAAAGTTATTACCAAGTACGATGCTCCCATAGTTTTAGATATTGATCTAGACTTTTTCAGCACTAGTAACCCGTTCAAGAAGACTTACGAAAAAGCGTGTCTCTACGAAAGGTTGAAGACCATATACGCGTTTGAACTACCTAGTTCTAAGGACGATGGGACAATATCTGAAGTGGTGGAGAGCCGCAAAAAACAACTAGACGAGTTGGAGGGTATTTTCAAGCATCTCGAATCTACCAGAAAAATGCCAGATATCGAGGAGCAATCAGAGCTTTATAAAATGGTTGACGATTTGAGGAAGGTAATGTTGGATAACTACGAAGATAAGGATGTTGACTGGCTACTAGTCCACGACGCTGGATGTACCTGCGACGACTCTGAGTTACCTCATCACGTGTCTACTGGTGAAGAATTAAATATTATGTTCAAAAGTTTCAAATCATTCTTGGAAATGATGCCAAAGTGTCCAGTGATTGTCACAATCTCCAGGTCAACTGACGATGACTATACACCATTCGAAAATGTCGAGTTAATACAAGAAACAGTTGTGAAACTTTTGAAGGAAACTTTCAATTGTGACGAACCACTTTTGGATTATTTGAATAAGCCTGATTCTGAGGAAGAAAAGTGAAAAGTTTTATGATATTCTTGTATCATCTATGCCAGCTAATTAATAATCGGTGTATCCTCCCCTTTATGTAGTAAGGTGTTAACACGCCTGGGCATGAAAACAATAACGGCGTTAATGATATCATTTGGATGTTGCTCCAGTCTTCTTGGGCCGCGAGTGTGAGTTTCTGAATAGTGATAGGAGGATTAATTCTGTTTGAGATTGCTCGTTTAACGAAATCCCACGTGTGCTCAATGGGATTCATGTTTGGTGAAACGAAATTGGCTCCAATTTCGTCTCCAGTCGACGTTGTTAGTTCCCTGATACAAATGCACTATTCGTATAACTGAAGCGCAGGAAAGCCTCAGGCTATCCGCGATTTGATAATCCCTATCATGCAAAACCACTATTCTGCTCCATGGAACTCTGAAGTTATATTGCCAGGCGTAATTGCAAAGAAGAACTGAACAATTACCTAAACACGCTAAATTGATTGTTTGAACATTTGTATCTAAAATTAAAATAAATTGCTTTTGTAAATATTGTTGGATACCTGGCTTCAGAAAAAAAAACATAAAAGTTTCGTTACCTCCTTGAGAGTTTTTTTGCCGTAAATAATGTACACAAGTGAATTTTTTTGAATCAGATGTTCAAGAATAGGAAAGGAATTCAATAATTGTTCAAAAAATAAAACTGGAATCGATTACAATTTTCCTCTTCCAACTTGATCTTCTGGAATCAAAAGACGGGAAATAACGAAATTTAATAATATTAAGGTCTCAATTTGAAGACATCCTAATTTTTTGACAATTTTTCGGGTATCTTTCTGATACTTCAGAAGTATGAAAAATGTGAAATACAACTCGATTTGAATCGGACGATATTTTCCAGTTCAGTAGCATAATATGGATTTTTCAAATTCGAAGATATACATATAAAGAAACTAAAAGGTATTTATACAAGGCACTGAAGCTAAATTTGTATAGATAATTTGTGATGCTCTAACATTATTCAGGAAAATGCACAGTAAAATTCAAATTATATAAATGGACAATTCCTTCAGGCAAGTCTCAACGCACCTACACTGTAGGTGCGTTGATACTACTCCCCTGGCTAATGCCTCGAAGGACGTTAGGTTATATTCGATAGATGCAGTGCANACCAAATATGCCAAAGATGTCTACAAAATTATCTCAGTTATTATTAAAAAACTGATTATTTTTGAAAACTTTGCCACCCTGTATCTCAAAAGTTAAGGCGTTCAGGACATACGTCTATAGGAAGTTTTTTTCTTAAAATGGGTCTAAGAATTACTTTCTTAAATATTGGCATGTGTTTGAGGAACACCCTGTATAAAGAAACTAAAAGGTATTTATACAAGGCACTGAAGCTAAATTTGTATAGATAATTTGAGATGCTCTAACATTATTCAGGAAAATGCACAGTAAAATTCAAATTATATAAATGGACAATTCCTTCAGGCAAGTCTCAACGCACCTACACTGTAGATGCGTTGATACTACTCCCCTACACTGTGAGTTGAGACTTCTCCCCTGGCTAATGCTTCGAAGGACGTTAGGTTATATTCGATAGATGTCAGTGCAGGATTCTTCACAGAAGTACTTTATGCATATGTTGTTGACGATACAACTACCGGTTTCGGACTATTTGACCTCTCGTCAGTGCAAGGTAATGTCCATCATCAACACAAATGCACCGATACCTGTCGGATATATTCCAACGCAATTTGTGGTATTAGCCAAGGGAGTAGTTGTTTTCTGATGGGTGTCAGTCCATTGACTTACAGTGTAGGTGAGTTGTGACTGGCCTGAAGGAATTGTTTATTTAGAAAATTAGATTTACACCCAGTCTTCAAGTATGCCTCCTTACTATATGTGAATTTTTTTTCCTTATACGAGGAATTTGGGCGTTTCGGATGTGCGGTTGGTTACATCGTTCACAGGCAGATGGGGTGATGACAAATATGTTGTTTGTCGTTTGTTTTAGCCTAGTTCGAGGAATGATACTCTAAAAGAATTCGATTTTCAATTATCGGAAATCATCGACTTTATGTTGATGATAGACACTACCT